AATCAGCATCAAGTACCAGTCACCCCATTCCCCAGGGATGCCTCGCACCTCATCCACTGGGGCAGGAGCTGGAAACAGGTGGGGGGAAGTGGAGACACCACTAGGGCCTGAGCAAGATGGGATGTGAGAAAGAGGCCCTAGCAGGGAGCAGCTAAAAGCCCTGGCAGAAAAATGGGCCTCTGCCCAAGCTAAGTAATTACAAAGATGCCAGCACACTCAATTGTGGGTTGGGAGAACAGGGACTGTCATACTCATCACATATCCTTAGAACCTGTGCTTATGTAGGTGCTGGGAGTATAGTAGACATCCATAACGCATGCTGAATCAAAGCACAGGATCCTAAGCCTGCCCTACCCAGGGGGCCCATTGAGGCCTAGCTCCAGAGCCATATTGTCTGCTGGGGGTCAAAGAAAAGAAAAATGAGCCAGAGGATCCAGTGTGCTGTGAGAACTGATCAACGGCATGCAGGATACATGCAAATTAATATGCAAATCGATGCTGTGATTTTGCATGGGCTGCCCAGGCACTCTATGGAACAGCAAGATAGCACACTCACACAAACTCTCCCTAACTCTGGCTAGCCAAAGGATTATCACCACATGCCCTTCAGCTAGGCCCTGGGGTGGAGCTGTAGGCAGGAACTCGGCAGGCAGGCAGACAGGCAGTGGGCAAAGCACAGCACCCAGTTAGCTGTGATTACCTCTTGTGCTTTGCAGCACAGTGAAGTGGAAGCAGGTGGGGTTAAGGGGACAGAGGATGCCCCAGCCTGAGAGGACCCTGGCAACGGGCCCAGAGCCTTTTTCCCCAGCCCCATTTCTGAGGACTCAGAAATGAGCAGCTCAGCCTACAGAGAGGGTACACCGTGAGGAGCCTCACCCCTCACACTCAGCCCTCCCACTCCACCCCAGGCCTAAATTGCTTGTGCAGTGAGGAAGGGAGGGAGTGAAAGAGGTCGGGAACTGGGCATGTCCTAGTTGGACCTCACACAGCAGACATGCAGACTTGGGAAAAAAATCACTTAAGGGCCCTCAATGCCCGCTTCTGAGATAAGAGCCTGGCTCCAGAATGAAACCCAGGGAGCCCCAGAATCAGGACCCCTAGATCCCTATGCTCACCCTCAAGGTGAGTCTGCCCAGCCCTGCCCTCTCCCAAACCTCTGAGCTGTCCACCCACCCCACCCAGGCCTCCAGGCCCCTCAAATATATTCAGCCATATAAAATGGTGAAATCAGTGGGCTCCTGGGAAAGATGCAGCTGGTAGCCATGTAGGGTCAAATCCCAGATCTCAGGGCCATTCCTCCTCAACTTTCTCCAGTTCCAGAAGATGCCTCATACTCCACCTCAGCCATTGGGGTGAAGGTGCCTCCCAGGACACCGCTTGGGCCTGAAGCTGGGCTGACCCAACCATGTCACCTCTTTGAGGGTCGATGTGGTCTTCGGGAAAGGCCTGCCCCCTGTGAGTGAGTGGTATCTCCTCTCCAGCATAGTCAGTTTCTCCTTCTCCTGCAAGCCCAGAGTGGCAGAGTCAGAGAAATGGGAGCAAGGGCAAGGGAGGAGACCACACAAAGGGGGAGCCCCCTGTGCAGGCAAATCTCCACCCCAGCCCTTCTGCACTCCCCTCCCACTACCCCACTCTCAGATTCCTCAGCCCAACCTGCCAAAGGCTACCTTCTGCAGGAGCTGCAGGGAGGCATTCTTGTCCCGGGCCAGGCGCTCCGACTCTTGCACGGCCTGGGCCCGGATCTGCCCAGCCTGACTGTCCAGGATGGCCAGGCGCTCCTGGAGGAGAAGGGATGGTTGGTCAGGCCCTCGGAAGACAGGGCTGAGCCCAATGTGACACTTGGCTGATGCTCCTGCCCAGAGACATCAGACTCAGGTGATGGGAATCACCCAACTCTTCTTGGCCTCAGCTCACCTCGGGAAAACTCAGGCTGCCATGGTCAGCTCCTTCCCTCACTTCTCCCTCCCTCAACCAGTGACTCCTGTGCCACCAGACACACTACACACAACTCAAATCCCCAAATCTCCCTTCCCCCAGCCCCACAGCTAATGGGTCTTGAAGCCTAGAGACACTGAGCAGTTCTCCACCTGCCCTACTCTCTCCATTCCATCACCACTGCCACCACCCAAACCAGGCCCTCTGCATCTGTGGCCTGGACTGTCTCACTAGCCTGCTGCTTCCACTCTCACAACTCTGATCCACTTCACACTGCCACAAAATACCTTCCTAAAATGGCCTTTGCTGATCTGAGTTTTCTAATCCTTCTATAAAGAATACATATTACTTGAATAATTTTTTAAAAATCCACAAGTAAGGTCAGATCACTGCTCTCCTCACAATCTTTCAGTGGCTCCTCATCACCCACAGGATAAAGCACAAGCTCCTTCAAGGGCTCCCAGAACTGGTCCTGCCCTTTGCAGCCTTCTCCCTGCCAATGTTGTACACTCAGCTGTGCCGCTGAACACTCTCGGGACTTTCTTTTTTTTTCCTTTTTGTCTTTCTTCGTGACCAGCAACGGCATCGCAACCCTTGGTGCTGCTCCCGCACCTCGCTCAGCCAGTGAGCGGGAACCGGTCTGTATGTGGGATCCGAACCCTCGGCGGGAGCGCCACCAC